GCACAAAAAAAAAGGCAAAGTGAAAAAAATATAAAAAAAGAACTCTTTGTCCAATTTGAAAAAGAAAACCGTAGAAAGTTTTCGTGAATGTTGTCAAATGGTGCAAGCAAGCCGCCATGGTAAAGTCTCAAATGGATGAAGCAGAAATTGTTACGGTCTCTCTATAGGCCCAAGAGACGGACTACTTCTAGAACATGATATCTGTTATGGGTAATCCCTCCGATGAGGCTATCAAAATTGGGGAGATGGTCGAAAATGGTTTAAAAACAGGACAAATCTTGAGTCATGCTGCCTTTAAGGCCACATCACAGACCGTTCAAAATGGTTTAGGGGGTTTGATGAATAGAAACATGAAGGAAGAGGGAGCCATGATGGCTTTGAGCTCGAGGGGGCTCGCAGGTCATTTAACCACCAAGATGCTGCTTATGTCATGGCACCGCCTCTCTTACGGTGATGAACGTGCAACCTTACACGCAGCTACAACATTATACACAAAATCGAGCTCCATCTTCCAGAAATGCCCATCCCTACCAAGCTCTATATAATTCCCAACCAAATGTTCCCCAATACAATCCTCACCCAAGAGAGCTCCTCAGAAGGAATCAGTTGATCCCTATTGGTGAATCATATTCAAGTTTATTTCAAAAGCTAATCGGTCTAGGTCTACTGCAACCAGTGGTCTCGAACCGGCTAAATCGCGAGTCCCCCTTGCACCAAGCTGATGCTAGATGTGAATACCACTCTGTAGCAGCGTGACATGATACAGAGGATTGTTGGACCCTCAAAATGGCAGTTGAGGAATTTGATCCGGCACTGAAAGCCATTGTAGCCATGGCCATGACATAAGAAAAACCTAAAAGGAGTAGCCAAACTTGAGAAGTTCCCTATCGGACGGGAGTCATGGTAGCCGGTCTTGCTGTCTTTTCTATATTTTGGGTTATTTTAGGGTGTAATCCGAATGTTTTTACTCTATTGTCTTACTTTCTGATGTAAACCCTTCTATATTTAAAAAACAATAACAAAATTCAAATAAATGAAATTAATATTTCATCATCCATGAATGTCTTTTTTCTTACTCTTGTCACTTTTCTTACTTTCTTTCTAGTTATGCTAAATGTAGATTTTAATAACATGACATGCTTGCGGACTTCATGCCCGGATCCTAAAACACTGTTAGACCTTGAAATAATGAATCAAGAAGTAGAATGTGCTGAAGATAAGGCTTGTAAGAAAATAACTAGAGAATTAGGACAACAAGCCTAAACCAAGTCCAAACAAAAACCGCCCTTACTTGATTGATTTATGGCACTTAAGTCGTGGTATCACTAGAAGTTGAAATTCCCTCTCTTCGGATCATTGTTGAAACTGAGTTCGAGGATGAAGATTAGGTCAAGACCCGATTGAAGCAATTCATTTTGGTTGATGAAAAGCGATTGACTGCCGTTTGCCACAGACAGTTGTACCAACAAAGAATGGCCCGTGCCTACAACAAAAAAGTGCGGCCCTAGAAATTTGAAGTAGGGCAACTCGTTCTGAGGCGTATTCTTCCGCATCACGAGGAAGCTTAAGGAAAATTTGTCCCGAATTGGAAGGTCCATATTTTGTAACAAGATTGCTGCAAAAAGGGAGCACTGTAGTTGGGAGACATCGAAGGAAATGTTCCCGATACAACTGTCAATACAGAAGCGGTCAAAAGGTACTATGTATGACCCTTTACGCAGCGCTAATTCTCTCTGATTGGGAGGACGAAGGATTTCATTCTCACTACCTAAATACTATTAACATTTTGCTAACCCTTTGAGCCAGATACTTTTTCCTTGGCCACCCTCTTTGGAACCTTGTATGTAATGAGAAAAAAAAAGAAAAAAAAAAGAAAAAAAAGGAAGTAAAAAAGGAGAAAAAAGAAAAGAAGCAAAAGAAAACAAAATAGAAAAAAATAAAACAAAAATCAAAACAAGTTCAAGTCCATTGAATTACGTCCGACCTGATTCCAAAAGGATACATAAGCAACCTCACTTTGGGTTCGGTCACACCAAAATAAAAATCCGCATTCCCCCAAAAGTGAAAATTGGGGTAGATATTACAATGATTCTGCGATGGTTTCGCCCAAAAGGTTCTGAAGTTGTAATTCAATACCAATTCTTTTTACCCAAATCCTTTTAAGTCCTTACGATCAAATAGCGAGAATGTGAAAACCCTCATGGGCATTGTAGAGCAATGGTGAATAGAGAAAATAAAATTGAGAGAGTCTTGTTAGTGAAAACCCGCAAAGGCACTATAAGGCGATGGAGAGAAGAGAAATGAGAGAGATCAGCTAGTGCAAACCCGCAAAGGGCACTGTTGATCGAAAAGAGGAACCACGCAGCCATGGCATCAACACAATCCTGAGCAAGATTTTTCGGTTTTAAGTCAAAAGTTGTGATAAGTTTCTATGAGTCGGACAATTTACACAGATCAGGCATCCAGTCCAAAGGCATGTCATGTTCATTGAAGTCCGCATGTACTCCCAGATAAGTTCGTCTTTCTGTTCCCCGAAAGGGACACCTCTTGTTTTAAACTCATTCTCTATATCATTGTTTATATTTATTTGAATCCTTTTCGGTCTAACTTTGTTTAAAAAATAAGGCAAAGAAAACATGGCAAGATCGATTTAAAGGGTTCTCATTTGAAGCGAGCTGATATATTCAAAAGGCGCCCAGCGTCGGCAAGGGCATCAAGTCGACCCCGTCTGGCCATGATTGGCCGATTCTTTGAAATGGAAAACTTTGAAAGAAGCCAAAAGCAAAATGCCCACAAAGGCAAAATAAAGTTGAAAAAGGTTAAGTCCCACACGACCAACCGTCATGGCAAAGTTTGGAAATGCCAAAGGTTCTCCAGGGTCAGAAATGGAGTTAGCATTCAGGAAATAATCAGTTGCAGTTGAGAAGAAGATGAGCCGAGATCAAAAGATCGAAATAATCAAGGCCACAAACCGACCTCTATTTTAACACTAACGATTCTTTCTTTGTTCATAACAGGAACATAACAGTTGTAGGAAACAGTTCGTGAAAAGATGAACACCAAGTGAAGTTCTCAAATCCTTGATTTTCTTCCAATATACATGTAAACATGTTATTTTTAGTTTCATTATAGGTAATCAATACCCTATCTTCAATACAGGGTATTACATCCCCTAGCTGTATTACTTTCTGTCTACATAGGGTACGATATTCCCTAGTAGTATCCCAGAGTGCCAAGAGCCTCACCTTATTTCCAACACATGGTACTACATCCCCTGGTTGCATTTCTTATTCAAACATAGGGTACGACATTCCCTAGTAGCATCCCAGAGTGCCTCGAGCCTCATCTTATTTTTAACACAGGGTACTACATCCCCTGGTCGCATTTCTTGTTGCAAACATAGGGTATGACATTCCCTAGTAGCACCCTAGAGTGCCAAGAGCCTCACCTTGTTGCCAACACAAGGGTACTACATACCCTGGTTGTATTTTTTGCTGCAAACATAGGGTAAGACATTCCCTAGTAGCACCCCATAGTGCCTCGAGCCTCATCTTATTGCCAACATAGGGTACTACATCCCCTGGTTGTATTTTTTATTGCAAACATTGGGTACGACATTCCCTAGTAGCATCCTAGACTACCATGAGCCTCATCTTATTGTCAACACAGGGTACTGCATCCCCTGGTTGCCTTCCTTCTTGTTAATATAGGGTACGACATTCCCTATTATAAAATTAAAAAAAATAAAAAATCTCATTTCTTTTTCAATTCTTTATTTTGCAATAGAAAGATAGTTTATTGTATTTTCAATAACTCACAAAATATTTCTAGTGCAAACTGGGGCAGAAATATTTTATTCGTTTTATTTGTTTCTGATGGCTTGCAGGTTTTTCTGCAAAGTACGGACTGGATGTGAAAAAATAAGATTCAATCTCTCGCCAAAGAAAGTGGAACGTTTGATCTCAAATACCAGCCGCAACCAGCTTTGACATAATGCATGCATGCGGAGACATAGAGTCTCAAGATCCATCCTTTTATCATCTGATCAAGGAACAAGCTGTGAGAATATTTCATAGTCTGTTGCATCGAGAGGATCAAGTTTAAGTCTAAAGTCAATGGGGGAAGCAAGTCAAAAATCAAAACAAGACTTCAAATGGCATTAAGATAGGCATTTTGTAACTCTTAGATTTCAAGAGTATGTAATCTTCTTTTCATTTTGATGTAATAGTAGGAACCGCGGATCGAAACCTCGATGGAACTTCACTCGAATCTCTCTCTAAGCATACTCCATCACTCTTCTTTCACTTGAACTATATATGACAGGATTCCCTTATAACCCGGGATATGTAGGCTGCCTAAAACCAAGGATCGGTCATATCTCTTTCTTTTATCTTCTTTTCCTTGTTAAATAATAGTGAGGTCAAAAATCAGTCACCTTGTTCATTTTCTTTGCCTAAAAACTTTTCATGTTTCCAAGAAAAGAGGGGCATGTTGTGAACAACTAATTTTTGACCACACCCAAATTCTATACTATTTTAGTGTAAATATTTCTTTTAGGTCTAATTTTAATATTTTAAACTTTTATCTTACTCTTAATAGGTTTTATTGAATTTTTTTAAATTAAATTATAAAACAATTACAAAAATATTCTCATACTTATAGTACAAATTTCATTTTTATTTATAAAGAGAAAAAGAAATTTTACAAAAAAATATTAGCTTTCTTTTAATTAGAATTTTAATGAGTAAGCTATAGAATCTTTCTTAGTATCTTTTAAAGTATATATAAATATATAGTTTTCCTATATTGTAAGGAATATCGGTTAATCTTCTTATCTTCATAATTGTTTTAAAATAAAATACAAAAAAAAAGGAGAAAAAAAAAAGAAGAACACAAAATGAAGTAAACTTACGTAAAAAAAAAAAATAGATAAAGTTTGGTAAAACAAAAATGTCTGATTCTCATCTTTTCCCAACTCCCCACTTCACGTCTCTCACACGTCTCACTTTATTGCACACACATACGATCAATACTATTCACCTGTACATCTTCCATCCATAACTCCTATACATGCCTATATAGTGACTTTTCTGAAAAACAAAAAGGGGGTGAAGGAGGAAATGAAAGTGACGAGAAACAGAGGGGAAACAGGAACGAGAAAAAACAGAGCATAAAAACGAGATCCGAAAAAAGAAAATGCATCTTTCATCTTCATCAAAGATCCAGCTCTAGAACCAGCCTTTATCAGTCAGAAATCAGCCTTCAAACTCCATAAACACAGCAGTTTGGTCTTACTCACCGTCGATTCGAGTTTCCGTCCGCGGTTCGTTACATTTTTGAGTTCAAAGTTATCAAACAATTGAATTTCAGACTTATTCGAGGTTTATTTCTCCCTTTCCTCTATTGTTTTTGCTTAAAGTCATGCTTTTGTTTTGATAGCCTCGTTAATCAGTTTGTATTCTGTTTTGTTGATCTTCTGAGTTAACGTTTTATTCCTCTGCTTTGGAGTGTGTCCTATTAGTATTTGGTCTGCTCAGTTTTGTTTTGCTAATTGTTGTTTGTATATGGTTTGGTTTAATCTTCTTGGATAGATTTTTCACGACTAAAAATGAGTTTGGTTTCCTTAATTCGTTGCTTCATTAAGATATAGATGTTTAATGCGTGTTGATTACAATTTTGGTGACTACAAATATTTGGCCGTATGGTTGGACTGAAAACGTTTAACCAACTTCACCAATGAAAACTTACGTGTATAAAATGTAGTCTAAATGAAACCTAAAACAAAATGAAGTAGAAGAATTGAAATTGCAACACCTAAATGTCGTATGCTTCTAAACGTCCTATCGTGATTGTGTACACGTTCGCGTGATATAATTATAATTTCCAAAATTAAATCGAGGTATGCGTTCGCGCAACTTTGGCCGAGAACAATCTTAATAATTAATAAAACGTGATTAATTATGTACACGTACGCGTGACATGATTCTTGATGCGTCAAACGAGATGAGTATACGTACGCGTGACTCTTTTTCAAGATAATTCCATAATTCCATAATCAAGTAATTAAAAGCGGTAAGAGGTAAAATGCATGTAGGTTCTAAAAGTACGTAATTAAACAAACTAACTAAGCCAGGTATGATTAAAAGCGATTGTCCTAAAATCACAGAACCAGGAAATGCGTAACACCTTCTCCATGGTTAATAGAATTCCTTACTCGGTCTTTTGGTTTTTGCAGACTTTAAAACAGAGTTAAATTTCTTCGATTTGGGATTTAAAGTAAATCGGTGACTTGGGACACCATATAATTATCCCAAGTGGCGACTCTGAAAATTGAATAAATAATACCATTTCGATTAATGTCACTTTAATTGGAAAAACTCCCTATCCCCTCGGGAAAAAGGAGGTATGACACTTACCGCGGGAGATCCAACAGGCTCGAGTCGATCAGTTTCTAGACCTCAAGCAGCGTAATATGAGTGTTCGAGAATATAGTCTCTGTTTTGACTCATTGGCCAGATATGCACCATCCATAGTTGCTACTATGCAGGACATGATTCATAGGTTTATAGCAGGATTGGTCCCAGAGTTGACCAAGGCATGTGCCACCGCTGCATTGCAGGATAATATGTATATCTTCCGAATTCAGGAATTTGCCCAGAATATAGAAAGGGGTAGGCATCGGCAACAGGGTACAGAGAGGACTAAGTCAAGACAGCGTAAGAGGATGAGATTTGCCAGGTCTCAGGAGCAGTCTCAGAGTAGTTATAGGCCCCAGTACTTTGAACGTCCACCTAGGCCTCCGCCACCTCAGTTACAGGGTTACAGGTATGGTCGCTATACTCAGTTAGGACCAGGTGAAAGCTCTCGGGAGTCGGGTTTGCAGCGACAGCGAGGTTCAGGGCAGACATGGCCATTTTCGGTGCGGTGTGACATCTATGGTAAAGGACACTTGGTCCAATGCCGAGCCGGTTCCGATGCGGTGTGACATCCGAGTTGGAAAGTTAGATGGTATAATAGTAAAGAAGTTCATCCTTGATCATTTTGAAAAAACGTATATACTTTGGACTACAAAATGTGCATGGATTAGATAGTGCATTTTTGAAAGAACTTTAACACTTTTACTAAGCTATGAACACTTCCAATAATTTAGATATATCATTGATGAACTCCGTAAGTTCTTGGGTCTTACAATAATCTCAAACAATTTACAAATCGATAGTATGCTTTAGGCGTGCTCTTAATTAATTAAATTATCGTGATTATGTATCATTCGCGTAACATAACTATGATTTCCAAAATTAAAACTAAGGTATGCGTTCGCGCAACTTTGGGCGAAACAATCTTAATAATAATAAAGTGTTATTAATTGTGTACAGGTACGCGTGACATGATTCATGACACGCTAAAAAAAATGAATACACGTACACGTGAGTCGTTTCAAGATAATTCCATAATTACAAATAATCAAGCAATTAAAAGCGGTTTAAGAAACAAGTGCACAAAGTTCCCTAGAACCTAAAATATCTAGAATTAGTTAAGCCAGATATTATTTTTAAACCGACCGTGCTAGAACCACGAAACTCGGGAGTGCCTCACACCTTCTCCCGGGTTAACAGAATTCCTTACTCGGTCTTCTGTGTTTTGCAGACTTAAACAAAGTCAATTTCCTTGAATTGGGATTTTTAAAATAAATGGTGACTTGGGACACCGTAAACATTTATTCCAAGTGGCGACTCTGAATCTAATAAATAATCCCATTTCGATTAATGTTACTTAAATTGTATAAACTCCCTATACCTATGGGAAATAAGGTGTGACAGCTCTGGAGACTCTGCTGGGGAGCGAATCCAGAATCTCTGGTTCGGGGTTCAGAATTCGAGCTTGTAATGTGATATATACTTGGCTTTATTGATTTGATGTTATTATTGTGTTTTTGGGCCTAATGTGCTAATTACCGCTTTGATATTATTTGAACTGTATTATATTATCTTCTTACGCCTCCCTCCTGTGTCTTCTGAATTTATGGTGCACACGTGCGCGTGGCCCACTTTTCTGTTAGAAGTCATACCAATTAGAACGAAGTTGGGTCAGTAACTAGGTCGGGTAGACTTTCGTGCTCCCGGTACATTGCTCCCACCTTGGCTCGACTTGTCCGCTTGGGTAAGCCATGTCTAGAACACACCCCTAGGTTTAAACCTAGAATAACACAGCCTCATGCCGGATCCCTAGTAGGAACGTTTATTTGCATCATGTGCATTTGACTTTGGGGACTCAACACAGGGGTTGGGTCTGTCTAGGACAGGTGTACCCAAAATTATAAGACCAGCATGATGCATCTTATATGCTACATGTGCATTTTTCTTTGATTCGGTTTGTGCATGTTGACCGGTTTCTAAAATAAAAATAAAAATATAAAAATTGAGGGAAATCATAAGGAAGAAAATAGGAGAGCAAAAATTTACACGATTTTCAAAAAATCTCGATATTTGAAAACTCCAAAAATCCTGTAAAAAGTTTACCCCAAAAAGATTATTACAAAATAAGCTCGAATTTTTCAAAAAGTGTCATCATAATCCTGAAACATGACCGAACTACGCTGGTCTGTTTCTCACCGGATGTGAGATATGTAGGCAAACCTCATCGGTTCTGGCCCCCATTTTCAAAAAATCCAAAAATATTTTCTCTTTCCTTAATTCCTTCTTAGAATTCTTCTTTAGAAAATTCAAAAACAAATCATTAAATCCAAATATAGTTTTTTTTTTTTCCGAAGTCTTTCATTCGAAAAAGAAAAAAAAAGAAAAAAAATTGCAAATAAAAATCCAAAATATATTTTTTTTTTCCTTCTTTAGAAGTCTTTCTTCCAAAATTCAAAGAAAAATCAATCAAAATCCAAAAAATATTTTCTTTCTCCTTTAAGAAGTCTTCTTTTAAAAAATTTCCAAAGAAAAAAAAGAGCTAGCTTATGTATTTTGTTCCCGATATTCCGAACTACGCAAGATCTGATTCATACGGCGTCATGATACGTAGGCAATCCCTATCGGATTCGATCATTGCCATCAAATAAACTGAGTAAAGAAATAGAGAAGAGAGAAAAAGAAAGAAAGGAGTGACAAAAATAACAAAGAAAAACAAAGAGCGAATACCCCCCGCAAAAAAAAAGCAAAAGTGAAAAAAACACAAAAAGAGAACTCTTTGTCCCATTTGAAAAAGAAAACCGCAGAAAGTTTTCGTGAATGTTGTCAAATGGCGCAAGCAAGCCGCCATGGTAAAGTCTCAAATGGATGAAGCAGAAATTGTTACGGTCTCTCTATAGGCCTAAGAGACAGACTACTTCTAGAACATGATATCTGTTATGGGTAATCCCTCCGATGAGGCTATCAAAATTGGGGAGATGGTCGAAAATAGTTTAAAAACAGGACAAATCTTGAGTCATGCTGCCTTTAAGGCCACATCACAGACCGTTCAGAATGGTTCAGGGGGTTTGATGAACAAAAACATGAAGGAAGAGGGAGCCATGATGGCTTTGAGCTCGATGGGGCTCGCAGGTCATTTAACCACCAAGATGCTGCTTATGTCGTGGCACCGCCTCTCTTGCGGTGATGAACGTGCAACCTTACACGCGGCCACAACATTATACACAAAATCGAGCTCCATCTTCCAGAAATGCCCATCCCTACCAAGCTCTATATAATTCCCAACCAAATATTCCCCAATACAATCCTCACCCAAGAGAGCTCCTCAGAAGGAATCAGTTCACCCCTATTGGTGAATCATATTCAAGTTTATTTCAAAAGCTAATCGGTCTAGGTCTACTACAACCAGTGGTCTCGAACCGGCCAAATCCCGAGTCCCCCTTGCACCAAGCTGATGCTAGATGTGAATACCACTCTGTAGCAGCGTGACATAATACAGAGGATTGTTGGACCCTCAAAATGGCAGTTGAGGAATTTGATCCGGCACTGAAAGCCATTGTAGCCATGGCCATGACATAAGAAAAACCTAAAAGGAGTAGCCAAACTTGAGAAGTTCCCTATCGGCAGGATTCATGGTAGCCGGTCTTGCTATTTTTTCTGTATTTTGGGTTATTTTAGGGTGTAATCCGAATGTTTTTACTCTATTGTCTTACTTTCTGATGTAAACCCTTCTATATTTAAAAAACAATAACAAAATTCAAATAAATGAAATTAATATTTCATCATCCATGAATGTCTTTTTTCTTACTCTTGTCACTTTTCTTACTTTCTTTCTAGTTATGCTAAATGTAGATTTTAATAACATGACATGCTTGCGGACTTCATGCCCGGATCCTAAAACACTGTTAGACCTTGAAATAATGAATCAAGAAGTAGAATGTGCTGAAGATAAGGCTTGTAAGAAAATAACTAGAGAATTAGGACAGCAAGCCTAAACCAAGTCCAAACAAAAATCGCCCTTACTTGATTGATTTATGGCACTGAAGTCGTGGTATCACTAGAAGTTGAAATTCCCTCTCTTCGGATCATTGTTGAAACTGAGTACGAGGATGAAGATTAGGTCAAGACCCGATTGAAGCAATTCATTTTGGTTGATGAAAAGCGATTGACTGCAGTTTGCCACAGACAGTTGTACCAACAAAGAATAGCCCGTGCCTACAACAAGAAAGTGCGGCCCAAGAAATTTGAAGTAGGGCAACTCGTTCTGAGGCGTATTCTTCCGCATCACGAGGAAGCTTAAGGAAAATTTGTCCCGAATTGGAAGGTCCATATATTCTAACAAGATTGCTGCAAAAAGGGAGTAATGTATTTGGGAGACATCGAAGGAAATGTTCCCGATACAACTGTCAATACAGAAGCGGTCAAAAGGTACTACGTATGACCCTTTACGCAGCACTAATTCTCTCTGATTGGGAGGACGAAGGCTTTCATTCTCACTACCTAAATACTATTAACCCTTTGCTAACCCTTTGAGCCAGATACTTTTTCCTTGGCCATCCTCTTTGGAAACTTGTATGTAATGAGAGAAAAAAAAAAGAAAAAAAAAAGTAAAAAAGGAAGTAAAAAAGGAGAAAAAAGAAAAGAAGCAAAAGAAAACAAAACAGAAAAAATAAAAAAAAAATCAAAACATGTTCAAGTCCATTGAATTACGTCCGACCTGATTCCAAAAGGATACGTAAGCAACCTCACTTTGGGTTCGGTCACACCAAAATAAAAATTCACATTCCCCCAAAAGTGAAAACTGGGGTAGATATTACAATGATTCTGCGATGGTTTCGCCCGAAAGGTTCTGAAGTTGTAATTAAATACCAATTCTTTTTACCCAAATCCTTTCAAGTCCTTACGATCAAATGGCGAGAATGTGAAAACCCTCATGGACATTGTAGAGCAATGGTGAATAGAGAAAACAAAATTGAGAGAGTCTTGTTAGTGAAAACCCGCAAAGGCACAATAAGGCGATGGAGAGAAGAGAAATGAGAGAGATCAGCTAGTGAAAACCCGCAAAGGGCACTGTTGATCGAAAAGAGGAACCACGCAGCCATGGCATCAACACAATCCTGAGCAAGATTTTTCGGTTTCAAGTCAAAAGTTGTGATAAGTTTCTATGAGTCGGACAGTTTACACAGATCAGGCATCCAGTCCAAAGGCATGTCATGTTCATTGAAGTCCGCATGTACTCCCAGATAAGTCCGTCTTTCTGTTCCCTGAAAGGGACACCTCTTGTTTTAAACTCATTCTCTATATCATTGTTTATATTTCTTTGAATCCTTTTCGGTCTAAATTTGTTTAAAAAATAAGGCAAAGAAAAGATGGCAAGATTGATTTACTGGGTTCTCATTTGAAGCGAGCTGATATATTCAAAAGGCGCCCAGCATCGGCAAGGGCATCAAGTCGACCCCGTCTAGCCATGATTGGCCGATTCTTTGAAATGGAAAACTTTGAAAGAAGCCAAAAGCAAAATGCCCACAAAGGTAAAATAAAGTTGAAAAAGGTTAAGTCCCACACGACCAACTGTCATGGCAAAGTTTGGAAATGCCAAAGGTTCTCCAGGGTCAGAAATGGAGTTAGCATTCAGGAAATAATCAGTTGCAGTTGAGAAGAAAATGAGCCGAGATCAAAAGATCGAAATAATCAAGGCCACAAACCGACCTCTATTTTAACACTAACGATTATTTCTTTGTTCATAACAGGAACATAACAATTGTAGGAAACAGTTCGTGAAAAGATGAACACCAAGTGAAGTTCTCAAATCCTTGATTTTCTTCCAATATACATGTAAACATGTTATTTTTAGTTTCATTATAGATAATCAATACCTTATCTTCAATACAGGGTATTACATCCCCTGGCTGTATTACTTTCTGCCTACATAGGGTACGATATTCCCTAGTAGTATCCTAGAGTGCCAAGAGCCTTACCTTATTTCCAACACATGGTACTACATCCCCTGGTTGTATTTCTTATGCAAACATAGGGTACGACATTCCCTAGTAGCACCACAGAGTGCCTCGAGCCTCATCTTATTTTCAACACAGGGTACTACATCCCCTGGTCGCATTTCTTGTTGCAAACATAGGGTATGACATTCCCTAGTAGCACCCTAGAGTGCCAAGAGCCTCACCTTGTTGCCAACACAGGGTACTACATACCCTGGTTGTATTTTTTGTTGCAAACATATGGTAAGACATTCCCTAGTAGCACCCTAGAGTGCCTTGAGCATCATCTTATTGCCAACACAGGGTACTACATCCCCTGGTTGTATTTCTTATTGCAAACATAGGGTACGATATTCTCTAGTAGCATCCTAGACTACCATGAGCCTCATCTTATTGTCAACACAGGGTACTGCATCCCTTGGTTGCCTTCCTTCTTGTTAACATAGGGTACGACATTC